CTGCACCAGATCAGCTTTTTTTTCCCCAACAATCAATTCATGGTCATCATTAGACTCTTAATTTTAGATATTTATTGAATTCAAATTCCACCAGCTGTTTGTGGGATTTGAACCCAGGTCCCCAGAATGTTATCTGGGTCGTTGGATTAACAGTCCAGCAATAACACCACTAGGCCATCACCTCCCAGGTATGGAATGTTACTTGGAATGAGCCGGTTTTGAGCTGAATGGTGGACTTAGTCCTGAGAGGGAGGACCAACCATGGGAACTGTCCAGAATTACGGCCTTACCTGTACAGGAGATGAGAGTTGTCCGTTGATTGTGGGGACTGAGCATTGTTATTCCTCCTCCACTAAGAGGGAAGGTGCTGGAACAAGTGCCCCAATGGCACCCTGTTATTGTATACAGTGCAGCCCAGGGACCAGCTGGTCACTACACCTCACCAACAGGGTGTGTCTCTCAAAATTCAGAGCCTGGCCAGACGGTACCTGTAGTGTTTACTGAGTTGTGTCTCTGAGCCAGGGTTGGTCATACCCAGGGAAGAGACAATAGCAGCATCACAGGTCAACAACAATCAGTCAGAGAGGGACAGTCTGCTGAATGGCTGGAGCTTTCGGAAGTCTGGGAGACTACACCAGAAAAGGGTCCTGAGACTAGGAGACAGTCTTCTAGAAACTACCACCCCCCCCCCCCCCTCCCGATAGATTAATCATGTAGACTATGGTAGCAATAACTTGCATGGGTGGGGTACTAATCGTTTGCACATGTTTTTTATGTTTTTTATAAATATTCCTGACTGTATGTGCAGGGTAGGGGGATTGGCCATGCGGAATTGCCTGTTGTGTCCAGGGATGTTTAGGTTAGGCGGTTTAGACATGGGAAATGCAGGGGCAGGGGAATGAGTTAGGGTGGGATGCTCTTCGGAGGGGCAGTGTGACTTGTTGGGCCGAATGGCCTGTTTCCACACTGTAGGGATTCTATGTTTCTATATAGACATGCTGGCTACAATGCCTGTATAATATTTACAATTGTTGCATATATGTTCATTAATGGGAGTTTTTGAAATAAAGGAGGAGCGTTTTATGTATGTAGCTGGGGGTACGCACTGCCCCTTTAAGACCATGGGTCAGGTGACCCGGAGCCGGAGCTTTGTGTCAGTCGAGCGCTGACTGCGAATCGGTAAAGACGCATAATAAATTGTTCCTGTTTCCAGTTCTACAGGCCTACCTTATGTTTTTTTTTAATAATTTATGAATTGACCTAAAAATAATAACCCCAACCTTGAATATATTTAACAATGCAGCCTCTACAGCCCTCCATGGTAAAGCATCCCACAGATTCATTAGATTCACAATGGGAGGAGGAGAGAGTCAGAAACCAGAGAAAAAGGAGACTTCAGAAGACAGTGACGGTATATGGGCTGGAGAACTTTTAGACCATAGGGAGGGTTGCAGGAGCTTACTGAGATAGAAAGTGTTGTTTTGAGGGCTGGAGGAAATTACTAAGATAGGGAAGGTTGTGGGAACGTGAAGAGGTCACAGAGATTAGGAGGACTGTGGGGTTGGAGCAGATTAGAGAGATAGGGAATGTTGTGGGAACGTGAAGATAAGGAGGACTGTGGGGTGGGAGCAGATTACAGAGATAGGGAATGTTGTGGGAACGTGAAGATAAGGAGGACTGTGGGGTTGGAGCAGATTACAAAGTTAGGGAATGTTGTCAGGGTTGGAGCAGGTTACAAAAATAGGGACAGTTATAGGGGCTGCAGGATGTTACAGAGATAGGGAGGGCTGGAGGAGATAACTGGCTTGGAAAGGGTCCTGACCCGAAACGTCAACTTTCCTGCTCCTCTAATGCTGCCGAGCCTGCTGTGTTCCTCCAGCTCCACACTGTGTTCTGGCTTGGAAAGGTTCTTGTTTTATCTGGTTCACTGGAGGGAAGCCTGCTAAGAACCCACTGCCCAGCTGACCTCTCCCATTCCTGAAAAGAATACCCTCTCTGTCAGTTCAATCTGAAATCTATTCGTTGTTTTAAAAGACTAATTGAAGTAACATCTCAAGATTGTATTCCCTAAGCAAGCTGTATCTGCGAGATTACAGAGACAACCGTATTGATGACTTGACCGCTGAAGAACTGAAGGAACATGTTGATTCTATGAGCCAGTCTTTAGGATGTACAGCCTATGTACCTGACATTGCACTGGCACTGAAATTCATACACAGCCTTGCACATTGTGTGGCAGGTAAAATGCCTTTTTGGCTTGGCAGCAGTATGCTGGTGGTGGAGAATATCACTCGTACAGTCACTGTATAGCAGCAACATGAAACATGCAAATTTGATACAGAAACAAGGCACATCCAAACTATCCTGCAGAACAACAACTATCCTGATCAGATCATCGCTCACTGTGTATAGTACAAATTGGCACAGGAGCCAAAGACTTTTGGACTTGAAAAATGCCTGGTCTCTTGCAAAATGCCCTGAAAAGGGAAAGTAATCCAAAAAAATGAAGATTAAGGAAACTGGTTGCAAAATGCAGTGTATTGACAATAGTGAACCACTCTCTGTTTGCAATATGCAAATACAGCATCTACCATTAAATGTACTTCACTGTTTGAAAGGTGGTTTGAGACATCCAGAAGGGCAATATACAAATACAATTTGTTCTTTCTTTTAACACAGCTCTGAATGTCTGACTGTAGGTTTCTTGCTGACTTCTCTGGAATGGGATTTGATTCCATTACCTTCTGAATCGGAGGTGAGATTACCAATACTGACTGCACAAATATCTGTAGGTTAAATATCTGGACAGCTTGGCATTCGGGGGATCTTCAGAGGAATGTACACCTGACCTAAAACTACCAAGAACAGTGATAATTCAGGGGTAAAATGGAAACTTCTAGTAATTGGATCCTCAGTGTTACCTCAATGTCCTGTTTTGTTAACATCTATCCCTCATGGATGTCTCATAGCCTCGCGATGGGGGTTCTCACCACCCAGCTCAATGGACTGACTATTAACTATAACTAGAGACCCAGCACTTGACCTGAGGAGGAGAGATGACACTGGACACTGGATGCGAACTGTAGCTGCCACAGGAATAGCTGAAAACTGTTTGTACTCTCTTTTCAAGAAGATATGTAGCTCGGGTTGTGGATGAGGTTGTAGAAATGCTCGCCGAACTGGTGGGTTTCATCGCAAACATCACCATGCTAGTTAACATCATCAGTGTGGTGAAGCGTCCGTGTTCTGTCCCACTTGTTATTTATATGCCTCGGTTTGCTGGGATGGTTGGTATTACTTCCAGTTCTGTTTCACAGTGGTTTGTACAATGTGTTTGTTGATGGAGTCCCGGTTGGAATACCAGGCCTCCAGGAATTTCCTGGTGTCTCTCTGTTTGGCTTGTGCTATTATGGATGTGTTGTCCCAGGTGAATTCGTGTCCCCTGTTACCCGAGTGTAGTGAGACAAGTGAGAATTGGTCGTGTCTCTTGGTGGCTAGTTGGTGTTTATGTGTCCGTATTGTCAATTTTCTTCTAGTTTGGCCTACGTAGTGTTTCTCACAGTCCTTGCATGGTATTTTGTATATAACACTGGTTTTGGGTATGGGATCCTTTATGTTTGTCAGTAGCGGTCGTGGGGTGATTGTCGGTTTGTGGGCTACTCTGATACCTAGGGGTCTGAGTAGTCTTGTGGTCATCTCTAAAATATCGTTGATGTGTGGTAGGGCTATAAGTGATTCTGGCCATGTTGTGTCTTCCTGTTGTGGTCTGTCTCGGAGGTAACAGTGGATTATTCTTTTTGGGTATCCATTTCTTTTGAAGACTCCATATAAGTGCTCCTGTTCAGCTTTGCATAATTCCGAAATGCTGCAATGTGTTGTGGCTCATTTAAATAGTGTCCTGATGCAGCTCCATTGGTGGGCGTTGGGGTGATTGCTAGTGTAATTGAGTATCTGGTCCGTACGTGTGGTCTTTCTATATATGCTAGTCTGGAGTTCCCTGTTGTTTTTCCGTTCTACTATTATGTCCAGGAATGGTAGTTGGTTGTAACATAATGGTAGAACAGAAAAACAATGAGGAATTCCAGACTAGCATATATCGAAAGACCACACATACGGACCAAATACTCAATTACACGAGCAACCACCCCAACACCCACAGGGCTGCATCAGGACACTATTTAAATGAGCCACATTGCAGCATTTCGGAATTATGCAAAGCTGAACAGGAGCACTTATATGGAGTCTTCAAAAGAAATGGATACCCAAAAAGCATAATCCACTGTTACCTCCTAGACAGACCACAACAGGAAGACACAACATGGCCAGAATCACTTATAGCCCTACCACACATCAACGATATTTTAGAGATGACCACAAGACTACTCAGACCCCTAGGTATCAGAGTAGCCCACAAACCGACAACCACCCCACGACAGCTATTGACAAACATAAAGGATCCCATACCCAAAACCAGTGTAATATACAAAATACCATGCAAGGACTGTGAGAAACACTACATAGGCCAAACTGGAAGAAAATTGACAATATGGACACGTAAACACCAACTAGCCACCAAGAGACATGACCAATTCTCAATTGTCTCACTACACACGGACAACGGGGGACACGAATTCGACTGGGACAACACATCCATAATTACACAAGCCAAACAGAGACACGCCAGGGAATTCCTGAAGGCCTGGTATTCCAACCGGGACTCCATCAACAAACACATTGAATTAGCCCCTGTGTACAAACCATTGAGAAACAGAACCGGAAGTAATACCAACCACCCCAGCAAACCGGAGCATATAAATAACAAGCGGGACAGAACACTGACACTTCACCAGAGGCACACTGATGATGTTACCTAGCTGGGTGACGAAACGTTTGCAGCCAAAACCACCAGCTCGGCCAGCATGTCTACAACCTCGTGTTTGTACTCTGAGTTGAAAGGTGCAGAGTGTTAGATCTCAGCCTGTGACAAACTGAAGCACACAAACAATTGCAGTCTTCTTTATTAAATTATTGTTGAGAGTAACATTTATTAGTCAAAGTTAACAACAATATACAAATAACACAGAAAGCCTGCTTGTTGATTTCATATAATGGTCAGGACATGAATGACTGCTGTAACAAAATAAAATCCTTGAGAGACCCAGGCAGAGTTTAAGAGAATCATACAAAATATGTACCATATATTAGTGCATTGTTTTAACAATATCTTTTTGTAAATATCTTGGTGCTACAATACTAATATACCCAGGGATAACATGAAATAATAAATCACAAGTATATGTTGTTATTAAATGTTATTTCAACTTCTATAATGTGTTACTATTTTCAACCATTGCAGGCAATGTCTAATATTCTCAGTCTGCACTTGTTTGTAGAATTGTGTCATTTGACAGATTCAGTACTCGTTTTATCTATTAAACGTAATAAGTTTGGTGGTTGTTTCAAAATGGACCATGATATCAGTTGGATTAGGGACTGATACGTGATTTGCAAAATCTCAACAAGTTTAAATAATGAGAAATCAATCACGAGAGAGCAAAAGAAAACTTTTTGGTTTAAGGAAACACAATAGGCCAGAAATACAGCCATGCTAGAAGCCCACTGAGCCCCGAGCCAGTGAATAGCCCAACCTGTTCTGATTGCTGATGACAGACATCACCCCAACATAGGAATCAATGGGGATTGAATGATTCAATATTAGCGCCCCATTCGCCCTGCCAGGAACTGGATCCAGTTGATAGGCTTTTTGGACAGCCTGAGACAGCTGTATTTTGAAATTTTCGAGCTGTAAAGAAGTAGATTGGGAGATTCAATCATTGCAAAGGTACATGTATAAAATTCCACTAAGACTAGATATTGTATATATGGTACAGTAGTCTGGTGATGAGGTTGTTTCTAATGAAAAATCATTGAGCTGACATGTTAACTCTGCTTCTCCCTCCACAGCTGCTGCCAGACCTGCTGACTATTTCCAAACTCTGCTTTATTATATTAATGGTTCTATTACTGGATAGTGAATTGAGTGGTCTGAACTAACCATCCACAGGTATGAGTTCAAATCTTACCACAGTAGAAATTGAAATTAAATAAATCACCTGCATTCTTGTAAAAATCTTTGTGCTTCAACTATATCATTAGGGGAAGAAATCTGCCGTCCTTACCTGGCCTGGTTTACATGTATCTCCAGGGCCAACAATTTGGTGACCCAGCTAACCACTCAGTTGTGCCAAAAGTACTACAATTGCAATGGTTCATGAAGATGACTCATTATTACCCTCTCAAGGGCATTTAAGGACAGGCAGTAAACGTTGGTTCAGTAAGGGGTTCCCACATCCACTGGATGAAAGAAAATACTCGACAACCGAGCCGTTGATCCAGAACACTCATTGACAAAGTGCTACTGTTCACCAAGAATGCCATTTGTACAAGGTTTTACCAAGTACCAAGACTGAACACCAGGCTGTATTATGAAAAGCCAGACTGACAGCAGATGCTGAGCAGAAGTCACCAGACAACATACTCACTATGTGTTTCAATCAATAGACAGAGAAGTTGACAATGTCTAGCCCACTAGAATCTCCAAGCAGGGTAATCTCAGTCAAGATGCATTGGAAAAGACCCCTCTTTACTGAATGTAAAGGAACTCTCACCTTAACAGCCAACGAGCACCATGGTCAGTCAACCAACTCAGATTCAGCCTGCCCTAGACCCATGTTATTTAATCCCATCCCCAATTCAGTTACTTCGCATTCTGTTCAACTCAAATTAAAAGAGTACATTCACCAATCAGAGTTTGGCAAACACAAGACAAACAACTAGAACTGGAGTGAAATGTTCATTATATGTACATGACACACACATCTTCTTCATCCCAAACAAACAAACTTAATTTTTTGCCAGTAATAATTTACTTCCAAAGAAACGCCCTTTGTGAATTGAAGGAGGTTTTGATCAGGTTACTGACCGAACATCAACATTATGAAATACTTGGCATTTTTCCCACTTAATGACAGATTTGATTGTTTACTCTCACTGCAGCTACGAGGCCAGCAGCAAAGACTATCCTTACTCCAGAGGAGTGTCACACTGAGCGTCAGTACTGAAGGAGTGCTGTACTGTCCGAGGGTCAGTACTGAGGGAGTGCTGCAGTGTTGGAGGGTCAGTACTGAGGGAGTGCTGCAGTGTTGGAGGGTCAGTTCTGAGGGAGTACTGCACTGTCAGAGGGTCAGTACTGAGGGAGTGCTGCACTGTCGAAGTGGTCAGTACTGAGGGAGTGCTGCACTGTCAAAGGGGTCAGTACTGAGGGAGTGCCGCATTGTCAGAGGGTCAGTACTGAGGGAGAGCTACACTGTCAGAGGGTCAGTACTGAGGGAGTGCTGCACTGTTGGAGGGTCAGTACTGAGGGAGTGCTGTGCTGTCAGAGGGTCAGCACTGAGGGACTGCTGCAGTGTCAGGGTGTCAGTATTGAGGAAGTGCTGCACTATCAGGGTCACAGTACTGTGGGAGTGCTGCACTGTCAGGGTGGTAGTACTGAGGGAGTGCTGCACTGTCGGACGGTCAGTCCTGAGGGAGTGCTGCACTGTCCGAGGGTCAGTACTGAGGGAGTGCTGCACTGTCCGAAGGTCAGTACTGAGGGAGTGCTGCACTGTCCGAGGGTCAGTACTGAGGGAGTGCTGCACGGTCAGAGGGTCAGTACTGAGGGAGTGCTGCACTGTCAGAGGGTCAGTACTGAGGGAGTGCTGCATTGTTGGAGGGTCAGTACTGAGGGAGTGCTGCACAGCTGGAGAATCAGTACTGAGGGAGTGCTGTACTGTCCAAGGGTCAGTACTGAGGGAGTGCTGTAGTGTCAGGGTGTCAGTATTGAGGAAGTGCTATATTGTCAAAAGATGGCACATAAACCAGTTAGCCCTGAAAGGGGTAACTAACATTATGAGAGAAGCTCCACTCATCAGGATATAAGAACACATTAAAATGAAATGTGTATCCCAATCCTCTGTAGTGTGGCTAACTATTAGCTGCTTTCTAAATTGGCAGAGCAGGCCACTTAGTTGCCTCTGGGGAACTTAAGGAGGGCAATGAACGTCAGCAACACCCACATCCCAAGAGTGAAAAAGAAGAAGGAAGCCTGCATTACCAGCTGCATGCTGAGGTTCTCCTGTAATTATTGCTGAGATGTGAGGGGTCTGCAGCACCAACTAAGGGAGGGGCCAGATTCACAATTTGGGGAAAGAGGGTGAATTAAGAATTACTTTCAGCAGATCTGTCTGATGTTAAGGTGTGACTGTGTTTAATTGGAACCGATTCACATACACAGAGTTCGTTGTTGAAGCACCAATGGCCTGGGGCATTGCCTGAACTGAAGGAAAGTGCGCCAGTTCTTTTCATGCTGTGAGAACCAAATCCGGTTCAGTGACTCTACGCCAAGAAAGACATTAGACAGAGATTAAGCACCATCATTTCATTAAAGTTTATCTGCCTGAGGGAAATGTTTAAATTGTGGGAACCGACAGTGACTAACAGGTAAAGAATTGGTATCAAGGTTTGGCTGTTATTGAGGTGACAGTTTTCAAAGCCTATTGTTGGTCAATTGTGTTAGAAACAGCACAATTCAAGTTGAGGAAACAACTCTTATTTGGTACATGGTTAAGATCAAAATAACAGAGAGGTTAACAGTGAGGAGAACTGCAAAAGATGGGAGGAGATCACAGGGAGAGCAACAGACCAGTGAAAGAAACTTTCTGGGAGAAAAATGAGGTGATATATTTGAAATACAGGAGAGGATATTCACTAAATGGCAACAGTTTTAAAGGACATGAGATTTTAAAAGTAAGAGGATTAAGGCAGAGTAGAGGCAAAATGAGGGTGGCTAGTTTTTAAGAAGTGAGAAGTCGGACACCCTGAGGATACTGCAACACAGACACAGAGAGAAAGAGAGGCTAATCCTATGCACACACACCTTCTGAACATCTAACCAGGTAACAAAGAAACCAGGAGCAGACTGGGATGTTGAGTTGATGACAAGTGACTGTGAGTACACCCTAAGCTGTTGTGTTTTGTATCATAGATGCCAGTGTACGCACTCATTCCAACAGCCAGTGAACAGACTCTATATGGCCTTGGGCTCTTTGCAGATATTGGCCCAAGCTACACATTGGCAGACTTCAAATCTAAGAACAAGACAAAACACCTTCAAGCTCAAGGGGCTGAATGGCCTACTCTTACTCCTACATTACTTTTCTCTCATTTCCAAATCCACTGTTACCTGACAAAGGCTGGTGAATCTCTCAGTGGCATTGATGGCTGGATGCTCAGTAAAGGTTGTATATGGAATGTCAGCACTCCAAGGGTTCCAACGGGACAGGAAGGAAGCCTCTCGCAGCTTGTCCCAGTGAATACGAAGTCCCTTACCATCTCTTCTGTAGAAACAAACAGCATTGCATGAAATGAGCCAGCAATCAATGAATGATTCCATTACTGCAGTGAGCACTCTTAGGATTTCAGCTAATGTTATTACCATACAATTCAGATCCTCGACTGAAATCAGGCCACTTTGTGAACCTCTACATTCTGTCCGCAAAAATCATCCCGAGCTTCCAGATGCCTACCACTTCACTACACCATCGGTTCCCGTGCAAACATTTCTGTCTCAGGCCTGCTGCAGTGATCTAGTGAGGCTGAATGCAAGTTGGAGGAACACCACCTCATCTTCTGCCTGGGGACCTTGCGGCCTTCAGGACTCAATATCGCATTCAATAATTTTAGAGCCTGAACACCTCTTTCCATCTTGGTACAGAGGTGACAGGAGTGGGATTATCCTCGGAGGTTCGGTACAGATTCGATGGGCCAAATGGCCTCATTCTGCACTATAGGGATTCTATGATTCTATGTCTTTTATCCACACCCACACTGTCACAACATGGGCTGCTTTCAGCACAGCCAACCCATTTTCACCACTGATAGTCCCATTATCATCTACTAAACATTTCTTCTTCCCTGGCTTACCATCAACAATTCCTTTGTCTGTCTAACTCGCCCCCTCCCACCCTGGGTTTCCCTCTCCACCTATCAGCTCACTCCTTCTCTCCCCCACCCTCCTGTTGTCAAGATAAATACCACTGTTTCTTAGATGCTATCTGTTCTGAATGATTGAGGACTCAAAATGTTAACTCTTTTTCTCTCTCTCCACAGGTGCTGCCAGACCTCTTGGATTTCTCCAGCAATTTCTGTTTTTGTTTCGGATTTCTAGCATCCAGTAGTTCTTTGTTTTATTATACTTTGCTTTCTTTTGGTTTTAATGAAATGGTCTCTCACTTAAATGTAAACATGCAGATTTGGTTTTAAACATAAAATAGAAGCTTACTCAGCAAAAGAAATGAAGATACATTCAATAGACAAACTGGTTTACATTTAAAATGCCTTTAGAAATTTTGAAATACATGAAAGAAATATAATCTCAAAATATTCCATTACAGATGCCCTTGTACAGAACTCACAGCAGAGAAGAATCTCTTTCTCTAATGCCAAAATAGGTTTATTTTAACTATGACTTCAACTCCCAGTCTGGAAAATCTGATAGCCTTTACGTGGAGCTTTCATATACCTGAGTTCATACATGCTCAAGTTGAACAAATCTCGTCAGGATTTTATCCAAACATATCTTGTCTGGGGCTTTTGCTAAACTCCTCACTCAAAGATAATCTAGTTTTACTATCTTCTTGCCTTCTCAGGAACACTGTTTTATTCATCATCATCCTAGTGTGGGAGTGGGCAGGTAGGTGCCAATGGGAAGGTACAGTATGTGGGAGTGGGCAGGCAGGTGC